TTTCAAAAAAGGTGTTTATCAGGTTCTTAAAACATTTAAAAATGGCTTAAGGGATGATTTATAGCCCTTTTACCTTGAACATATTCACTATCTTGGACTTTGTTGAACCGATTCAGTTCTCTCCTTTTGAAACTCTTCCCTTACTCAAATAACTTAACTAAAGAATCTGAGATGTTATCAATATAAAGAGAAAAATTTATATTTATTTCTTATGCATTTGCAAACACATCAAAAAGAATATGTATTCCAGGCAGTGTAAGTAAAATTATTCAGTAAAACTTTTTTTATTGGGGGGGTGTATGTATAACAGGTAATTTTTCACATATCTTAATTTCCAAAGAATAGGATTCTAAATAAAATATACTAAAACATTCCTAGATTAAATGATTATTTAGATTACACAGCTCAGGAGGCAAATGATTACTAATACAAAACAGGAAAGATAGCTATAGATATGTTTTAGTATCTGGCTTTTCAAATTTCAGTTAAGATAGGAGCATTACATTTAATTTAGGAAACAACAGTTTAATCCTTAGAAAGGAAAATTTGCAGAATACCAAACCAAAATGTATATAAGGATTATGTTAAAAATGAAGAAAACTCCCAGCATTGTATAATATTAAAACACAAAGAGTATTTTTAACATTTTAAGCTATACTGATAAAAATCAAATTCACTAATTTATTTAGTTGTAAAATGTCTATTTATTAAAATATTTTGGTTATAATAAAAATACAGATAAAAAATTTTATCAGTATTAGCCCACAACCATAAATCATCTTCTCCAGCTGCTAAATTCTCTATAGAATTTCAAATAGAAAAATTAGGCATATAAATTTCAAATAAGAATCTCTGTGAGGTTTCTCTGATTCTAACTGAAATAAAGATTTTGAGTATACAACATTACATTATTTCTGTAAACTGGTATAATTTAATAGTAGCTTCAGACAAAGGATGTTCAACAGGTAGTATTTCTAAGGCATCAAAAAAACTCAATATAATCAATTCAAATTAGATATTGTGTTGTGCCCTATTTAAATAAGACTCTCTAAGGAATTACAGACTCTATATTTGTGCACTCTGAATATATTTTCTAATTCAGACAAGTAGTCAGTTGTGTAACACCCAAGCACGAACAAAGTTTTACACCATCCTATATGAGAGAAAAAAAATGACAATACCAGCCACTTCTATTTAGGTTGACGATAAACCAATCATGTCTGAACAACCTGAATAACACAATGACCTAAATATAAATGGAAGAAATACTTTTCCTCCATTTTTATAGAGATTGAATTTATTAATATTAGTATCTGGTTTGTCAAAGTGGCAACCATTCAAGATCTAAAACTCATTTATTTTAAATGCATAGAATAATTCTGACTACTTATAGTCAATGCAACTGTCTTGAGCCAAAAAAGATTAACTTCAAAGATTTTGTAAGTATTAATGTCATTCTGAAACCTCTGGATGGAAGATTATTTGGGGGGGAGGAGTTTCTCTTCTCCATTGATAGCTTAATCCTTTTCCAATCAATTTTGATTTAACTGTGGGTCATGGGATAAACTCATTTTTTAGTAAGTTCTTAGAAAGTTGTAATTGCTTCCAAAATCAGAAACCACAAGACGATGTACTCAAACACCACACCAACGTAATGTTATGGAGATATTTACAGAAAGGTGGAGAGAAAAGCTCAGCTATGAACACACGTTAACATACAATGGACTACAAATTAATAATTTGTTTATACAGTATGACAAGAAAAAACATTCTGTACAAGAAGTCTAAAAATTCAGCTCTAGTTTTAGTCCATTTCTACAAATCATAAAAACAAAGGGAAAAGGGGATTTATTTCAGAAACTCCATATACCTGTGGAAAATGGAACACAAGTAATTTCTTTTCAAGATTAACCTTAATCTCAAATAGAGTATGGCTAACTATGTATTTTAAATTTTGAAAATATTGTGAAAATCTAAAACATAAGAGACGATAGTAGCTGATGGTCTATAAGCACTTTCTGTTAAATAACACAAATAAATTCAACTTAAAAGATGCAAACTGATAAGTCTCAGGCTTTTAAAATCTTTTCATTTCAAAGGTGCAAAGTTACAGCACATGTATAGGATGGGCTTTAAAAATGGATAAATATGTAAACTTTTCCATGGTGTTGGTCTGTGTGCTTCCCCCCACTCCAAAGAAATGCCTACTGCTTACAATGTTAAAGAATCTTCACCACTCTGTCTATAATTTTCAACCAGAAGTCCTCAATGTACCTTAAACCAAACTGAATATTAGGCATTTTACAGCTTTTGCAAAATGGCTGTAAAATCACATTATAGGCATACATATCTCTTTGATCTCATTGCACAAAATTCATAACTGTTCAATAATGCTATACCATTACACCACACACCTTCAACTATTCCCATTTTTCCAAAATTCCTTCCAAAATCAGCTTCCAAAGCAAAGCAATGTAACATGAAAAGTTCCTGGGAAGGCTTGTTACAAAAAAGAACAGCTTGGATACAAACTAATCTACACACATATCCATCTTCTGTTGAGCCTGTTTATCCCTCTTCTCCCTCCATCACTCCTAAAGGTGGGTGCACTAGAGTAATGGAAAGAGAAGGCTCTTTCATCACCACACCCTCCCAGCACCTCCACTTTTGGTCCTCAGACAGTGATTCTGTGTAGGTGATGAAAACCATAAGAAAAGAGAAGCTGTCCCTTTAAAATGCCCTGGTCTGTCCCATATCCCACGTGGAACCAACATCAGCAGCACTTTCCCATTACCATCAATGTGATGCAAGAGGCACCATCCTTTTATATACATAAAACCAGAAAACTTCAGCTTAACATTCTTTAGTAAGGATGAACAGGTGAAGCAAACGTGTCAGGAAGGGCGAAACCAAGCAACTCCCCACCCCTCCCCAAAAGGTACTCCAGTCTTGCACTCAAGTCTCTCTGTGCAACATCACCTCTCTACCCCTCCTCTGTAGAGCCCAGTTTAAAGAAAGGAGGGAGCCACTAACAAAACCTGAAGCATAAATGCGACGAAAATGCAATCTAAAGCCGGAAAGGTTTATTCTTCCAATCACACATATTAACTCTATTAAGAAAATGGCATCACTTTTTTTCCACCAAAAAAAACCCCGCAAAGATCATTAAAAGAGAGTTATAAAATAGCAAATATAGTGTTTATCTTATCTCAGATCAGTCCACATTACCCATAAGTTTAGTAGTTTCTGCACTTCCACCTCTCCCCTCCCTCCCCCTGCTTCTCTTGCATCGGATTTTCACGTTTTCTCATTGTCGGTTGAGTTATAAAAGGCTTTTTGCCCTTCGAAAGTTTTAAAAAATAAATAAATATTAACTCCTTGGTCCCTGCAAAGTCAAAATGGACTTCAGGGGAAAGGCGGTACATACTTTTACCTTTAGCGAGAAAAGGGGGAGCATCCCGGATTTTTAGGGATTTTTTTGCGATTTTTAAAAAATTTTTATTTGGTTATATGCCTGAGTTCTCCCTCCATTTTGGTTGTTTATGATACTGACAACAAGCTGTCCCTGCTCTGTGCCGATCTCCTGCTTTCATTTAGCACCCCCTCCCCCTACCCCCCCTCGCAGCTACACACCCCGGGCTCACACCTCCCCGCAGACCCCGCACCCCGACCCCGACTCGCCCACCTGAGGAAAGGGCAAAAACAAATTCATTTCTCCAGAAAAGAAAAACCTCTTTTGAAAAAGGGGCAAAGTTACCCCAAGTCACTCAAAGTGCCCCCCAAATATTGCCGACTGCGGGTTTCCGCCAGGCCCTTTGGGAAGCGACCTTCCCCCGGGATGTTTTGGTGGAAAATGCGGAGAGTTTACTCTCAAAACTGAATTTATATTAATTTTTCCCTTATTTTTCGGGTCTCTAATGTCTTCCGCTCTCGCTGCTGCCGCTGCCGCTGTCACAATATTCACAGCACCAGAGAGGAGGAGGAGGAGGAGGAGGAGGAGGAAAACTTTTCAAACTTTCCAGACCCTGAATAAAGGGTTTTTTTTTTTTCCCACCGACCTCACCTTCGGGTCCCCAGCCGCATCGCCCCCTGCCCTGTCAGAAGCGACTTCGGTAGTCCTCGCAGCCCCGCTTAATTATTTTATTTTATTTTTTATTATTATTTTTCTCTCTGGGGTCCTGAGCAGGGGCTGAGAGTAGCACAAACTTTTCCTCCTCCTGCCGCCGCCGCTGCTCCTCTGCCCCCTCAGCTAGTCCCATAATTTAAATAACCCTGATATTTCTCCCGCTAAACGCCTCTCCGCCGCCCCGGACCCCGGGAGAACTCACCGCGGGGCTTTAACATCCTCCCTCCGGCCCGTCCGCCGCCTTTACACCGCCCGCGGAATTTCTAATAATTTTTTTCTCATATTTCGGGCTGGACGCGGCGGGCCTGGAAATTGTTTCCTTACGCCTCTTTCCAGCAGCCATTGTAGTGTATGCGCTGCCCCTGCAGCCCAACTTGCAGCTGCCGCCGCCGCCGCCGCCGCCGCCGCCGACGTCGCGCCCACCGCCGCCTCCCCCGACCTACTCTGCCACCGCCCCCGCCTCCCGTCGGCCCGCCCCCGACCCCCGCCCGCCGCTGAGCCCGCCCCCCAAGAGCGCTCCGCCCCGGGGCCTGCCACTCGGCACCGCCGAGGCCAGGAGCCGGCCCGCCGATTGGTCTATGGCGCCGCCCGTCAAGCCGAAGTGTTAAGAGGCGGGCCGCGGCGAGGGGGGCGCGGCGGGGCGGGGGCGGGGGCGGATCCGCGCGCGCCGCCCCGCCCTCTCCTCCCTTCTCGGCCCTCCTCTCGCCAGCCGGGGGCGGGGCGAGGCTCGCCCGCCCCCGCCTCGCAGAGCCCCATGCGGCTGTCAGTCTGGCAGAGGCGCACGGCGATTGGACGAGCCTCCGCCGGGGAGCGGGGGCAGCAAGTTGGGATGCGCGCTACTTAAGGTCCTGCTTCGTGAGCCATTGACGTGTTTGGAGCTGGAGAGTGCCTGGGCGCTGCCGGAGCGGCGCCCCGAGGTGAGTGGTCCCTCGCCCCTCCCTTCGCGGCAGCTGAAGGCTAGAGGGAAGAGACGGGCGCACCTGGGCCGCCGCGGGGTCCGGATCCGCTTCTGCTGCGCGGAGCCGCTCCCACCAGGCTTCTCCGCAGCGCGGGCCCCTTCCTGTCCGCTACTCCAACGGCCACACGGGTCTGTTCGGGACGGGGGCGAGGAAGGTGACCTCTGCCTCGTCCAGACATCACCAGCTCGTCCTTCATCCTCCTTTTCTCCAGCCTTTGAAGCGCAATCACCTGTCCCCGTCCCCACTTCCTTGCGTTTTTCTCGACCCCTGCCCCTCTCGGCTCAGTCGCAGGGCAAAGCAAGGTGTGTTCACCTGTGCCTTCCGTCGAGGATTAGACGCTGACGGGCAGCACAGCGGAAGGCAGCGAGGCCTCGGATTCGCCTCTCTCCAGGTTCTCCTTCGATCTCCCCTTCCCCCTCCGGTATGCCACCCTTGACTTCTTGCCCCTGCTCCTCTGCACGCAGCAGTGGGTTAGCGGCGTGGTGTGTGTCAGCTTCCCGATTTAGCAGAGCCATGGACCCTGCCTGGGCTCAAACCGGCATGTAGTCATGGACGTGTTGAGTAACGTTCCCTTCCCCCTTCCCTTTCTAAGCTACTGGAAGAGTGGGGACGTGAACCACTGGGTGGGAAATCAAGAACTGCTTTACTAAGCAGTTTGCCTTTTGGAGTGAATTTTAGAGTTAGTCCTCAAATGTGCTGTGGTTTCGCGGCCCCTCCCTCAAATCTTTGGTTTTCTTTCTGGCTATCCTCTGCGAGTGGTAGAACCTGTAACATTAGTTAGTACATTCAGAAAGTATTAATAAGTATAATAGATAGGGCCTCTTTGGTAGAGCATTCGATCTTGCCTTCAGCCTGGGTCCTCACTGTAAATTGACATTTCCTCTTCATTTCTAATTAATACATGAGGAATTCATGCAAAGGAGGGGGATTTCGGAAATCCAAACTTAGGGTGACTTGTATTTAAAATCCAGAAGGAAAAGGAAATGAAATGTGAATAAACTCATGCAGCAAACCTGATGGAGTATATGTGATGTTACCTAGGTAGTGTTTTTAAAGAATTTCTAACTGATGATAATAAAATACAGAGTAGAATACTTTAATGTAAGGCACACAACTTGAATTCCATACAAGTTTGTCTGCCTTTGATCCTTGTTCTGTGTTCACATATCATAGGATAGATATAAAAAAGGAAGCTTTGAATTTACTTAGTACCATCATCTCTCTTAGGAAGAAATCAAACTCAGGAAGAAGCCAAAAAAAATTGTGTTCAGGAGAGGAAGAAACTTTTAGATATAATTGGATGGCTGCTTGAATTTCCTTTTGGCCAAGATGTTTCTCTTGGCTGGGTATTTTCATGTATTGTTTGATGAAAATCATAAAGTGATTATTTAGTGGCTACTAAAAGTTAAAGGACCCCAAATAACCAAACTCTTTTCCATCCTCCTTAGCAAAGGTTGGCCTGCTTTAGCCCAGACATCCTGATCTTTCCCATAATAGAAGAAATTGGACTGGGTAACTCTTGATTGTGAATACCTCCACTTATCAGGAGTTTATGGGGTTTGTTTGTTTTTCCTGAATATACTTCATATCTTTTAACATAACTGATATTTTTCAATGGTCCTACCTTAGGCAAGGAAAGCAGAAACCGTTTCGTACAAGAATTCTGACCTCTGTCTGGTTATACTGCCCAGTTTAATTCAGTGGGATTTTGTAAGTCATACTGCATTATTTTTGCTGGCTTTTCCATTGATATTTAGGTAGAAGAATGATTAAACTAGAACAGGATTCAGGAGTACAAGTTAGATCAGCTCCTTAAGCTTACTTCAGAGCATTTTAAAATATTTGTGGGTAGTTCATCAATAGCATACCAATATATTGAAGCAGAAGTCACTTTGAAATAATTATTTTGGTATTGATTTTTGAATTTTCTCTTTTACTTTCTTTCTGTGACATTTCTTTGAAGATAATAGGCATACCAATTTCAGTTGAATTCCATTATAGAAAGCAACTGTATTCTGGGATATAGTTGACATACCTGTTACCCAAGTATATGACTTGACTTGGAATAACTGATTGGCTCTTTGGGAACTGTGATCATCTTTAATCGATACTTTTGCAAAGCTGTATCTCTAAGACTTGAATTGGAAAATTACCTGAACCACAATAGCATTCTCTGACTTCCTTCAAGCCAGGGAAATATCAACTAAATAGGAGATGCCACTGGAAGTAAAATTTCAACTTTTTTTTTTTTTTTTTTTAAAAACACTGCTTTTTGAAATGTCAACTAAGCAATAAGTTGGCTTTTTGATGTATTGGCTACCCTGGTATTAGCCACACAGTAGGCACTCTGTACTTTAGTTGATGAATGCTTTTTCTAAAGTTGGGCTGTACTAAATTATTCCATTCTTATTTTGTATGATGATCATAAGGAAGTAATCGTTAGAATGCATACTATATTCTTAGATTTTGTTAATACATTTAATTGCTTAAACTTAAGAGTAAACTACAGCTAAATTATAGTTGAATTGTCTTCCTTACTGGATATTATAATCAAATTTTAGTAGGTGAATTTCAGTATGTGGCCTTCGTGTTGAGGCATCATGGCAAACAAAGGAAAAACACATGCAAGTTTTTATTCTCAAAATACAGAGGGTATATGTTCCTCACTGGATGATTATTATGCCAAAATTAAATTTTCAAGTGGGGCTTTTGAGATCTATTGATTTCTTGTTATTCATTGTATAACTCGTTTTTCTCTTTCTCCCTTCAGTAAAGAAGACTGTTAGGATGCCTGTGGTAATGCGGAGGCTTAGAGATCCTGACATAAATCCTTGTTTGTTGGTAGGCTAATTTGCTTTTAATTTTCATAAGTGCTAAGTTGGAAAAACAGGCTTCTTCTAATTTTGTGGGCATCTGTTTTCTGCAGTTGTTGAATAAAGTTATTTCTGTATAAAAAAATTGCTGGCTAGCATATTATTATTTCACTAGAGCATTTTTAGATATTCATAATTTCGCTAACAAAGATTCATCTTTAGTTTCCCATGTTTGTATACTCAAGCATTTAGTTGTCACTGTAAAACTGGACAGGCATATGTAACACTGAGCAAAATCTTCAAACATGGAAAGTTGGAAGGTATGACATTTTTAACACCGTCACTGAAATTTACTGTTTTAATGGGAATAATTTCATCACGTTCTTGAGACCACCTGGCTGAGAGTATTGGGCTGATAATAGAATTAGCCTATTCGAAGCCTGAAGGTTTTCACAAAGGTATCTCATCAACACAATTGTTTTGTTTTGTTTTTGAGACAGAGTCTCACTCTGTTGCTCAGGCTAGAGTGCTGTGGCGTCAGCCTAGCTCACAGCAACCTCAAACTCCTGGGCTCAAGTGATCCTCCTACGTCAGTCTCCCAAGTGGCTGGGACTACAGGCACATGCCATCATGCCTGGCTGATTTTTTCTATTTTTAGTAGAAATGGGGTCTCACTCTTGCTCAGGCTGGTCTCGCACTCCTGACCTCAAGCAATCCTGCCTAGGCCTCCCGGAGTGCTAGGATTATAGGCATGAGCCACCATGCCTGGCCAGTTGTTTTGTTTTAATGATAAGCTTGTATTGGCATTTATTTGGTATGATTTGCAATACTTAACTTAAGGCTTTACTACCCTTAAATAACGGAGTCATCATGCTGGTGCTGTGAAAATTATGCTCCCTGATCCCATGTGCATTTTCCAAATAGATACATTCATTAAATATTTGGCATAGAAATTTAGCTTTGTTCTGTATATTAGGTCAGTTTTCAACAGTTTTATTAAGTAAATCTGTTTGGGTAGAAGATGTTTCTTAGATCTGTGAAGGAATGCCTACTGGTTTAGTTAAAGCTTTCCTTTAGATGACTCCTCAGAGTTACACCTTTCACTTTGAGGTTAGTTATCCAATCTACTTTCAGTTCAAACAGTTTAAGTTTAATCCCCAGGTGTTACCTACCTTCCTTTCAACACATAGCCCTATGTTGCTCACTTTGGTTTTAAGTGATATTACTAGTATCTATTAAAATTTGCTTATGTAATAGTGTATTTACTTGTGGAATGGAGTAAATGATAGCCAAAAATTTGTTGAGATGAATGGTGTTAATGTAGGTTTCCCTGATCTATGCCAGTTATTAGCAATTTACTTGAAACCTTGAAACCAGCATTACAATCAAACATTCAAGTCAGAGTGAGGATTTGGAAAAGCAGGAGAGCTGTTCTGTGAGTCAGGAGACTGTGGGTTCTAGGTGCGCAGCAGTGATTTTGAACATACTTCACCTCGTTTCAGTTTCTTGTTAAATGGTTACTGGACTAATTGATTACAGTCAGTGCTCTGGCTCAAATTCCTATGATTCAGAAAACTGGCCCAGATGAAGAGGAAGATGTCCGCCTGAGCAGAGTGAGTGCTGGGATAGTTGGCAAGATTGTTCAGCTTTTGTTAGTGTCTACCCATTAAAATGAACAAAAGTGAACTATTTCACATTATTTGCTTTGGGGGGGAAGCAACTTTAGTTTGCTTTTAGATCCCATTCCACCTTTTAAATGATGCTTCTCGTGTATTCAAGGAATCTGATGCTTCTGCCAGATGTATGGATGAAAATAACTATGACAGGGAAAGATGTTCCACTTACTTCTTGAAGTACAAAAACTGTCGGAAATTCTGGGTAAGGCTTGCTTGATTAGCTTTGTGTTAAACCCATCTCTCAGGCTGAAACTGAGGCCTGAAATTAGTCAATACCCACAATCCTTTCCCAGTGATGGCTGTAGGGAAACTTAACTTTTCAACTTTATCCTCTGTGTGCTCTTTTAGCGCTAACAGATCCTCAAGAGCTCTTGTTAGCTGCCTCATCCTACTCTAAGCTATAAGAATGCAGTTTTAGTATAGGCGGGTTTTCTAGGTATGTAAGTATCTGTAGTCCTAAAACAATAGCCTTGTTATAAATTTAGTTTTCCTGGAGATGAACAGCCCTGCTGTAACATATCATGTTAGGCTTCTATTTCTGCCTCCTCCTTTCCCACTGCCATCCATAGTAGTTAAAATGTGCCCATTTTTCTTAAGATATTGGTATATAATTTCTATTTTCCTGAGCACTGGGCCTGGCTATTTCCTTTTCCTTTGCTAAATGCACTGTTGGTTTCGTTTAGCAATTGTTTAGTAGCACTTCTTAGTGGACTAGATAAATTTTTGTGCTTTGTACATGCACAGTATGTCCCCATCCCAACTGCTGTTAATGTATTCCTATGGGAATTACCACTTCTATTTAATTGTTAATAGTTTGAAAACATTTATCTGGAATCTATAATTAGGTTTTTTTTTTTTTAACTTGTCTTTTGGAATTTCCTTTTTGAGGAAGCAATAGCAAAACACTGGCAAGTGATTAGCATTTAATACATGACCGATTTTGGTTTCTTTTTTTATATCTATACACAGAATTCTATCATGAACCAGAGAAGACAGAATGGAGTGAAGCCACCTATGCCTACAGCAGCAGAAAGAGATGAAATCTTGGGAGCAATGGGAAAGATGCCCTATTGAATGTTGCATTAAAATTGTTTATATAACTTGAAGCAGATGAATATTTTTAATAAATTATTGCTGTAATCTTTTAAGACCTTACAGGCCTCACCCAGACAGACCTTATGTTCTACAAGGGGAGATGGAGTTAAGTCAGCCCAGTGTCCTGTGTGCTTGCTCTCAGTGCCAGGATGATGGTAGTCGCTGCTGGCTATGCTATAGCACTGAGCTTACGTGACTTCCAGAGGTAAGGGAGTGTTAGGGGAGGCTACATGCAAAGTTGAGCTTTTCTGCTTGGTCTCAAAAGAAGAGTAAGATGTGAACAAGTATATACCAAACGGGGCTGAGAGGAAGGCAGTGTTTCCAAGAAAGGAAATGATGTGAGCAACAATGTGCTGGAAGGAAAGCTTGAATCGCGTTGGGAGAGTAGCCTGTAGGCAGTTTGACCTAGAGTTTTAGGGGAGAGGGAGGAGTGATGGGGCAAGATTGAAAAGGTAAGTTGAAAGTAAGGGATGTGTGGTGGGCCTCAGACCCCAGACTTCGTCCTCAAATCCGTCTGTCCTTCTCTCACTTATCTTTGTTTAAGTAAGGTTAGTACATTCACTAACGTGGAGGGGGGAACATTTTGTCCAAAATAAATGGCATGAAACAGAACTGATTTTCTTTCTTTTCTTTCTCTAAGGGCTTAGTTACAGGATTCTGTGACTAACATCCATAAATACTGGTTAGGCTTCTGAGCTGTACTATCAGTTCTTGAGCCATAGTAATGGGAAAAAGAGAAATTGATTCCCTTAGAAGTAGGATTTCTATTTGCAGGACGAGATGGGCAAGGAAGGGCGGGGGTTCATCAGGTGAACTCAACACTGGCATGAGACTAGAGCTTAACTTCACTTTATGATATAAAAACAATGAGAATATTCACTATATGACTGGGGTAGATTGTGTAACAGCTCTCCCTATGCCCACTGTCTTTTAAAATCTAGTTTGTTTCATTCACAGAATAGTTTTATACAGACATGTTATTTAACAAAATTTAATGTATACTTGAAAACAAATTGCCTGTCCCTCCTTTTCATCTGGTCCTAGATCAAGAGTATTATTTTATTTTATTATTTTATGTTTTTGTAGATATGGAGGGTCTCGCTATGTTGCCCAGGGTGAGCTTGAACTTCTGGCCTCAAGTGTTCCTCCCACCTTGGCCTCTCAAAGTGCTGGAATTACTGGTGTGAGCCGCTGCTCCTGGCTAAGAGTATTATTTTAATGGCTGCTGACAGTAAACTATCCATCTGAATCCAAAACCAAGTTCAGAAGTTTTTAAGCCTTATGACCTTGATTGTGAAACTGGTTCTATTTGAATAAAAAATGGATTATTTCAAAAATTCTTTTGATTGCTATAAAAATGATGAATTAAAATAGGACCTGAAAAGAATTAATACATACTATGTGAGAAGCATTTTAGTACTTTTAAGTGTGCTTGTTTAAAGGGTTTGGAATTTTAATGTCATGTCTTTGAATATACATACCAGTATCAATATTTATCCTGTGGTTAATTGTCCTGACATAGCTCTTTAAAAAAAAATTTTTTTTTTTTTAAATAGAGATGGGGTCTCACAATGTTGCCCAGGCTGGAGAGCAGTGGCAGGATCATAGTTCACTGCAGCCTCCAACTCCTGGGCTCAAGGGATCCTCCCTCCTGCCTCAGCTTTCCGAGTAGCTGGCACTATAGGCATAGGCACGTGCCACCACGCCCAGCTTTTTAAATGTTTTGTTTATTTATTTTAACCACCTTTCCTTCATTGCAGACATGGACTCCTGCCTTAGCACCAGACATTCCTGCCCACCGGGCCTCTGGATTGAGGTTGATTTAGGTTCAAAGGCTGCAGCTGACTGACTGGTGGCTCTGTAGGGAGCTGTGGATCTGGAGCTTCTGGAAGAAGCATTTAAATGCTCAGAACCAAGGTGGAGCTCAGGCCAAGGCTGGACCTGGGTGCTAGGCTGGCCTGCAGGGTTTGAGCTACTACCAAAGCCCAACTCCTCGGACTGGCACACAGAGTCCACACGAAGAGACTGGCCTCTTACTTGACCCTAGAAGACTTTTTTTTAAATAACAGCTTTATCGAGATATAATTCATATGCCATGTATATCATCTATTTAAAGTGTGCAATTCAGTGGTCTTCTGGATATTCACAAAGTTGTGCAGCCATCACCATGATTGATTTTAGAACATAATCATTACCCCAAACCGAAACCCTGTACCCATTAGCGCTCCCCATTTTCTGCAATACCAATCCCCCAATGCTTAGGTAACCACTAATCTTTCTGTGTATATTATTGCCTGTTCTGGACATTTATGTAAATGGAATCATAACGTGGTCTTTTGTGACTGGCTTCTTTCACTTAGCCTAATGTTTTCAGGGTTCATTTATGTTGTTGCATGTATTCTTTATTCCTTTTTGCTGAATAGCATTCCATTAAATGGATATACCACATTTTATTTATCCATTAATCAGTTGATGGGCATTTGGGTTGTTTCCACTTTTCGACTATTAAGAGTCATGCTGTTTCTTGAACATTTTGTTGAAGTCTTTATGTAGACGTTCTTTTCTCTTTGGATACAGACCCAGGAGTTGAATTGCTGGGTCATATAGTAACCGTGTTTAACCTTTTGAGAAATAAAGTTTTCCAAAGTGGCTGCACTGTTTTGCAATCCCACTAGCAGGGCATGAGAGTTCCAATTTCTCTGCATCCTCATTAACACTTACTGCCTTTGATTAGAGCCATCCTAGTGGATGTGGCTGGTAATCTCCTTTTGGTTTTGATTTTTCATTTCCCTGAGGCCTGAGGATGTTGAACATCTTAATAAGCAAGTTGGCCATTTGTATATGGTCTTTGGAGAAATGGTTATTCAGAATCCTTTGCCCGCTTCTAATTCGGTTGTCTTAATTATTAAATTGTAAAATGTGCACTAGATACAAGTCTCTTATCATATATGAGGTTTGCAAAAATTTTCTCCCCTTCTGTGGGTTGTATTTTCACTTGATGTACTTTGAAGCACAAAAATTTTGTCAAACTTTTGTTTCCAATTTATTTTTTCTTTTGTTACTTTTGGTCATATCTAAGAAAGCATTGCCTGATCCAAGGTCCCAAAGATTTACACCTGTTTTCTGCTAAGAGTTTAGCTTTTACATTTATGTCTTCGATCTATTGAGTTCATTTTGGTATATGGTATGAGGTGAGAGTCCAGCTTCATTCTTTTCAATATGGCTACCCATTTGTCTCAGCACTGCTTATTGAAAAAGACTTCTTTTCTCCAACTGAATTATCTTGGCACCCTGTTGCAAATCAACTGTATATGTGAGAGTTTATTTCTGGACTTTCAACTCCATTCCATTGGGCTATATGTGTCTATCCTTTTGTCAGCACCACACTGTCTTGATTACTGTAGCTTTGTAGTAATAGCATAGCTCTTTTGATGATTGTTTCCTATAAGTGCGTTTTCTATGAAGTGCTTTTCATGACAAACTGATTAATTGGGGGTTTTTGACCAGCAAATCTTTGACATATGTAATGGCTCCACCCAGGCAAAACTGTTCAATTTTAAATTTGTCTTCAGTAATTCCCTAATTCCTAGTTTGCTTCTTTATACCTACCCTGATAATTCAGTATACTCTTCTTATAACCTGATTGTTCAAGATCTTATTGTACCACTTTTGAGGGGCAGACTCTCTGGAGTGTTTCTTGTCACCACTGTTAAATTTGCCACTACGATATTTCTCTTTCCAAGATTCTACTTTGGGAGAGGTGAAGATGATTGACTTGATGAATTAATTGTGTTAAGATGTTAGTGGGTGCCCTGAGAAATTTGGGTGTCAGATGAGCCTTTGATATCAACTAACAAAATATGTAGAAGGTGTTCTGCTGTGTTCAGGGGCATCTCTCTCTTGTAGAAAGCATCTCATTACCGATTCTCAGTGGAATGGGGAAGGGTGATGCATTGTGTCTGCATGTAAAAGCAACCCTTCTGAGAATCACCATATCTAGTACAGTATTTGTAACTTGTGGAGGACATAAGCAGTACCATTCACGGTTATAGCCATAATGCCTGGTTTGCTTCTATTGCGTAATTAATGATCAACAAATGTGTGTGTTTGGGGAGGTGGTGGCTTTTTAACATTGAACACATTGAAAAACATGCAGATTCAAACAATGCAAAAGGATATACAATGTACAATAAATTTGCCCCAGCTGCAGCCAATGTCAAGAGTTTTCAAGATATTCCATGTGTATGCAGGCATATCTGTGTACCTTGTTTTACACAAAATGAACATCATAGTACATGAGCTATAGGGTACCTTACTTCTTTTACTTATGATATAGTTTGGAATAATTTTCTGTCCATGATTGTGGATTTACTCCATTTCTCTCAGTGGCTGCAGTTTCTATTTTATGGTATACCGTTATTGAAGTAATCTGCTGTCAATGGGTATACTATTATAAACAAGGTGGCAACAATCATTTTTGTACCTGGGTCTTTGCCTGTGCGTGTTTTTATCTGTAGGATAAATTTCTCAGAGTGGAATTTCTAGGTTAAAGGTTTTTGTATTTAAAAATTTGTGGGTATTGACAAATCAATCACCTCCTGAAGAGAAGCACATCAATTTATCCTCCCATAAACAAAGCCTGTGTGTGTTTCTTTTTTGGCACTCTCAGTCCCACTGGGTACCTTAAAACTCTTTCATCCTTACCAATCTGATGAGTGAAAAATGGAATGATTGTATTCCCTTTGCCCATATTTTTTAGATTGTTGGTGTGAATGATTTGGGGAATTCTGATATATTAAGGATATTACCTCTTTGTCATATATATTCTGTATATTTTCCCTAGTTTCTCTTTTAACTTGTTTTGGGGTTTTTAAAAATTTCTGTGCAGCGTTATAAATTTCAATAGAATTAAATGAATCAATCTTTATGGTTTATAGAGCTCAATAAATATTAAATGAATCCAAATACATTTAATGTACTGCTGTTACAGTTCCATTCTGCTTAACAAATACTTGCCAAGTGTCTATATTGTGCAAAGTGCTAGGCTAAC